TGGTGTCACGCGTTATAAGTAATACAGGGCATACAGAGCATAGCCGGATTATCGTACGTCTCTCGCCTCCCGGGCTCCTCTTTCCCCCAATGGGGCGTGTGGACCGAATGGTGTTAAATGCCCTATCGGTGGAGGGAGGTGGAAGGGAATGGGTTAAGAACTGGCGTACCCCGTTGGAGTTACAGCAACGTTGACTAGCTCATCACCCGAGAAAGTCTTTCAGATAATTCACTGTCCATGTCCGTGTTGCTTGCCAGTCGGCCGCACCACCTCTCACTACGAAAGGGGTGTTTCGAGCAACATCATCTCATGAATTCGAGTGCGCTCGGCTCCTCATCGAGCTCTTCGATGATGGGACTGTTGAGTTCATGATAGTTTGTAATGAGCTCTGCAATTGGGTCGTTGGGTTCCAGGTCCTCCATTCTGATATTATGAGATGGGTTTGTGGTTATTCACATGATTGCACTTTTCATGTCGACTTTCCCATAACAACCTACGGTTAAACCCTAACCCTAATCAACACTGAGAGAGGTGCACATGCAAAACACTGGGCCAGTTTCAGGGTCTCCCCTCAGAGCGGCGGCGGCCCAAGCTCCTTCCTCCATGTCTCCAAGTCTCCAAAGCATAACTCAACCTAGGCCCAGTTGCCGCAAAGTTGTCTGGTTTTGGTAACGGCATACATTGGCAATCTGTCACCTAAAACATTTATAGGAGCTCCGACTTCCGGTCAAGTCGCACAGTTGCGTGGCGTCCACACAGTAGCAGCGCCACTGCTTCAATCGATCCCAGGACTTCGTTTCCCAAAATGGGCCATCATCGCTAGCGCATCGCCGCACCAGGCAGGCTCCACCCGGCAACCTGGAAGCTCCTGGCCACCATCAATCCATTCCATCATAGACTTATTCCATGTCTCGAGGAGCTTGGATGATTCTTGCATCAGTCACTACCTCCAGCATCATCAAACGAAGCACTCGCCCGGCACTTCAACGCCGGAGCGGTACTCGATCAAACCTGGGCCAAGGTACCCCATTTCCATGCACATGGACGTCGCCGAAGCACAACCATTAAACCAAACACCTAATTAAAATACCCGAAGAGTCGCGTGCTTGCCGGGCTCTCGGGCCGTCGTTATTTTGACTATTTGAGCCGTTCCATCGTCGACATCATCGCCGATCACCACTGTGACGCGCGTTAGGCGACCTCCTCTTTCATGTTTCATTCTGACAAGGCCAGGTAGGCCAT